GGCTGTTCATTTTTCTCTCATTAGATTCTGAGTTACAATCAATAAAATATACATCAAAGTACGATATTGTCTGGCGAAAAAAATGCTAAATGTATTGAAGAACTGATTGGCAAATGAAACAGTTGTTTGCTAGAGTGCGAGCTGGCATTAATTTTGTGACTTTACACCAGTGTTCTAGCCAGTGTCTATTAGAAATGTCAATGTTGGAAAACTGACTGTACAACGTTTCATCACTCAGGTGTCAGATCATAGAGCTAGAAAAGGTCAATCAGCTCAAAAACTGTTGTATGTTGCTTGCAGGGTTCCACCCAAAAAAAGTCTAGTGTCTGCAATTTTTTTAGGGTCAAGATTTTTAAAAGTTGCATGACGACACATCTTTCCAATGTCAATGTTAGAAAACCGATTGTACAAGTTTCATCACTCAAGTGTCAGATCATAGAGCTAGAAAAGGTCGATCAGCTCGAAAACTGTATGCTGCTTGCAGGGGTCCACCCAAAAAAAGTCTAGTGTCTGCAATTTTTTTTGGGTCAAGATTTTTAAAAGTTGTATGACGACACATCTTTTCAATGTCAATGTTAGAAAACCGATTGTACAACGTTTCATCACTCAGGTGTCAGATCGTGGAGCTAGAAAAGCTTGAAAAGGCTCTCAAAATTTGCAGGGGTCCACCCAAAAAAAACTCTGGTGTCTGTGTAGTCCTTTCTAAGGTCAGTCGGGAAATATGAAACACTTGGTGGGCGGGATATACATACAGGGAGTTTGGCAAATGTAGGACACAGCCTTGCGTGACTCTATCTGTAACAAATTTAAAGCACTGCCAGGAGACAGTCGGGGGTTAGATTCTAACCTTCTGCTCTTTGAGTCTGGGCGTCATCATCTGTCATTGATTACTACATACATGTACAGATCCAGGGTTGGAAATGCCATCTGCAAATGCACCAAATTTTGGCACATCTAGCATTGAAATGTCTGTGTTCTCGTGTGGGTATGCAGATGCAGACGTTAGTACAGGTAAAATTGTAGAGCTGTGCTGGTATTTCTGATATCAACCTGCACCTAACCTGCACTGGTCCATGTGCTGGGTATTATATGCAGGTTAGTGCAGGTAAGATTGGAGCTGTGCAGGTATTTCTGCAGGTAAAATTGGGGCTAGCTGGGTATTTCTCGTGTCTACCTGTACCTAACCTGCACTGGTCCATGTACTGGGCATATACAGTGCAGGTAAAATTGGAGCTGTGCAGGTATTTCTGATGTCTACCTGCACCTAACCTGCACTGGTCCATGTACTGGGTATATGCAGGTTAGTACAGGTAAGATTGGAGCTGTGCAGGTATTTCTCGTGTCTACCTGTACCTAACCTGCACTGGTCCATGTACTGGGTATATGCAGGTAAAATTGGGACTGTGCAGGTATTTCTGAATTGTCTACCTGCACCTAACCTACACTGGTCCATGTACTGGGTATATGCAGGTTAGTGCAGGTAAAATTGGAGCTGTGCGGGTATTTCTGATGTCTACCTGCACATTTTATTTACTGTACCAGTCCATGTGCTTGTTTATATGTAGTAGGTGCATGTGGATTTTTATTTGCTGTTAGTGTTACCACCTATGGAATACAAAAAACAATGATTATGGTTCCTAAACAGTTTTTAGTATGATCTATACTCCATATTTCAAAGTACTGTGCAGGTAAAACTTGTCTGGAATGCAGAAAAATAGGATTTCAAGCCCTGAGATGACACTTTTGTTGTTTGCACGTTTGCAATTGATTTCCTCTACCGTGCTACCACAAGGGATTATGGGAAAGAGATCATCCAAAACAATCTCTCCCCCACAATCCTTTGGGAATTAGAATCATTGTGCCATGATGAATACAGTGTATTTCTCAAGATTACGTCTTGATTCTTGAATAGAATTATGTATGAGCAAGACAAAATACATTATACATTAAATTCCTAGTAGTTCTTTTTCTACACATAGCTATGAGTTATCTACACATTCTATGTAAATATGTGTGTGTGCATAACATTTACTTATTATTTATTTGTTTATTTGTTAATCACCTTCATTAATTGTTGTCAACCCTTTTATAAATACAATCTCCTGCAGGCTGAATTTTGATTATTCATGACCATGACATTTTCTTGCTATGAGAGTGATACTAATGATAGCAACATCTTCCATTGTATACATCTATGAAGATTGGTCCCAAAATAGTAACGTTACATATACATTTTGATATTTTTAGATTACTTGCAGGATATTTACAATTAGCTTTCAACCAGGTATTGGTTTGAAATAAACATCCCTTTTCAAAATAATAAGACAGAATCTGTGTGTGAAGTAATGAAGAAAATATAGTACGAAATGGCAGTTAATGTCAATATCACTTTATCGGACAGATTTTCTCAACAACAATATGTTTTCCTTTTTTCATGTACAAACAAATACCAATAAGGAAACGTCCATACACTAAAACAAAAGTTAGGCTACCAGAGATCTAACTCCTTTGACTGTTGCTGCCGTCCTTCTAACTTGACCCTGACTTTTCTAATTCATCAAATTACAAATCTCTGCTTCCCTTCTGTGACCTTTAAGCCAATGTTATCAGATTATTGGCTCTTATGTCAGAGGTTTCTAGCAAGAGTTCAAGTACACGTCATGGCAAGTTCAGGACCCTGCAGATGTTTCATACTTGTAATTTGTCTTTGACCTCTGAAACATGAATATTTCAGATAGCAACATATCCATGTCAATGTTTAAGTACTAAAAGAGAAAATCTCTAACCCTACTGCTAGCTGACGGTTATCACTTGGTTCAAATGTTTACACTATTATTACAGAGATTATTCACGGATTCCCTTACCTCAGTTGGAGTCTTACTTAGCTTCTATATAAGAACTGTTACAATATATACTGTACTTTCAAAGCAGGTTAGGTGCAAGTAGACATCAGAAATACCTGCACTGCTCCATTTTTACCTGCAGTCCTGCACTAACCTGCATATACCCAGTACATGGACCAGTGCAGGTAGACATCAGAAATACATGTACACATATACTTGCACTGCTCAAGTTTTATCTGCACTAACCTGCATATGGACGAGTGTACAATGTAGGTTAGGTGCAGGTAGACATCAGAAATACCTGCATTGAGTCCAATTTTACCTGCACTAACCTGCATATACCCAGTACATGGACCAGTGCAGGTTAGGTGCAGGTAGACATCAGAAATACCTCCACAACTCCAATTTTACCTGCATATACCCAGTACATGGACCAACTGCATCTAAGCTGCACTGGTCCATCCATGTACCTGCATAGAGTCCAATATTACCCGCACTAACCGGCATATGCAGGTACATGTAGGCATACATGTATGCGGGTACTGTGTAGTATTTCAAGCCCTGCAACAGTATTCATTATGTTGCACGCTCGTAACAATGTTTCCGCATCGGCGCTTGCCTTCTGCTGGTAATAACAAACGAGCTACCTCGCCGGCGATGCGGGTAGCGGGACCATAATGTCGTGATTAACGGACGGACGGGCCGCCGGCGCGACACCACCTTATGCCCGCACCTCCTCACATTTTACGACTTCTTCCGCCTTGACGACCAAAACCGCCCGACTGCAAGGATAGGGCGCGCCCATTACGCGAAATTGCCTCCATATATTTATGAAAGTAATCATTACAATCTTGAGATGGAAATATAACTTGTCGAGGCGGCGGAGTTAGCAAAGCACTTAGCCTAGCACGTTTTATCGTACGCGAATCCATTCGTCACCGTAGAACGACAGTATCTATCCACGAACCGATGCTTGAGAATGAATTGCAGACACTACACACTGGGCTCAAAATTCATTTTTGGGAAAAGGTGAACCGGTGCATCCAACCCAAAAAATTGGGTGCACAATAAATTTTTAGGAGAACCATATAAAATAAAGCAAGTAAAACGTCAGCTAAAACTAATTGTATGTTTCATCTCTAACTTAGAGTCTTAAGAAAAGTACTACATGTACAATATTACAATGATTTTATTATTAATGTCTGACACTTAGATGTTAAGAATATGCTGTATACTACTATACCTTTCACATCTTTACATACCTAAACCTATGAAAATATTTGGGTGCAATAGTGCACCAACAGAAAAAAGATGGGTGCACAGCTCCAAATCTGGGTGCACTAAGGTGCATCTCACTATATCACTAAGGTGCACATCACTATCCTGCCCTGGCAACAGTACATGTATTTATTATTCAGTGGCAACACGCCACATTCACCCTTGACTGCCCAGACAATTAAATCGACTTCATTGAAGTAAAAATATCACCGAGAACACTACCCATGTAAAGGAAACCATGAACAACGAATGAAACATTAAACGCAGCATATGCTGGAGTACTACTAAATAACTGTTAAATGTATAAAACCTGTTCTTATCGACTGTCTGTTTTACACCTGCGATAAATTTTTCATTACGCCGCTTAACAGAATGGGTGTTACGGCAGCGTATAATGTATGTGTGGGGGTTTAGATGTTGCACAGCTTGTCCATTTCACAATCAATTAATCAATCAATCAATTACAGAATGTATGACAGGTTGTTAAGGGTTTGATTGACATCTATTAAAGACAAGAACAATCTTTTTTTTCGTTACCTGTTTTGAAATCTGTAAGATGATATGATACTATAGGTCTGGGGTAAAACCAGGTGCTACATGGCGTATCAAATTAGATTTTAACAGAATGATTGACAGGTGGCTGAGGATTTGATTGGCACCTATTAAAGACAAGAAAGAATCCTTTTCTTCCGTAATACCTCTTTTGAAAATGACTGCATATTACGTACCATGCAAGGGTGTGGGACAACAACAAAAAAACTACATGTGCTACATAGCCTATCAAATTACATAACTGACAGGTTGCTGAGGATTTGATTGACAACTGTAACAAACGAGAACAAATGTTAGTACAGAAGTGGTGTGTACAGTACTACTTACCGACACTGAGGATGCTGTTGATGCCTTTCTTGATGGGTCCGGGCCCGGGTTTGCCTTTCTCACATTGCGTGTCGCATTCGGAGTAGTACAGTATCAGCATCACATCCAACATAAACCAAACCATGGACGTCGCCACGATAACTTTACAGTACGCTAACCTTCGAGCCATGTTTAGGTTTTCTCTTGAAGAATATTGAGATACCCTAAAGAGGATGTAGACTTGAAGTTTGTGGGAGTAGAGCCACCCGTTTTGAGCCGGAAATTGTGGTGAAAGTTTGCGGTGTGAGAGCTCGCGTGCTCCCGTCTAGAAAGGAGGGCGTACTCGGTACAGCAACGTTCGCTCTCTCCCGACACACTCACTCAAGACTGCGTCTCCTGCGTATGGTTTTCCTCAGCGACTAGGGACGGCTTGACGACTCCCAGGCCTCCTCAAAACGCCCGCACACTCCGCAATTTCGGTCTCGTAAAAAATGAGGGATTTCTCAAATCCGGAAGAGAAAATTTTCGACGGCGGCCTACCGGATTGTGTGTTTTGCTAGGATCGAGCCCACACGTCGCTTTGGCAAAGACAGAATAATCCCCCAGCTTGTAACGCAAGCGTGGGTCACCTTCGTTGAGAGTTGGGGCACGTCTTGCAGAGTATTAAGAGCTTCTTTTCAACAAAGCATCCCCCTCAAAACAACTCCGCAAACTTAACTTAAAGACGAACGCCCATGCACTTACGAAGTTGCGGTAGCTAGCACACCTCTCTCCTTTCCCCGTTGCTTTCGGTCCGAAAGAACGTCCCACAACTCGCCCGCGGTATGCTTATACGGCGGGGGAGTCTATAGCCACGAGTCCTCTCTCCTTCTGGCTAAGTTCTTCGCATGTTGTCTGAGTTTAGGAGGGTTTTCTAGGCCCAGCAGAGGAGATTATTTCAGCTTACGTGGCCGGCGGGTGAACTCCACCAACTTGCAGACAGGAAACAAGATGGCGGAAATACTCATTAGCATATATCCCAGCATGCTCGGTTGCACTTCAAAAGGATTTCCCGCGAAACTTCCACGTGGGTTCTTCAAGGTGTCAAATTTTACGGCCAAAAATGTGTCTGATATGGACATTTACTGCAATTTAAGCACATTGTCGTCATTATTGCATACAGATGCAGACACACACACACGCACAGACACAAACACACACAGACAAAGACAGACAGTCAAAGACAAACAGGAACGCACACACACACACACACACACACACGCACGCACACACACACACGCACGCACACACACACATACATACACACACACATACACACACACACACACACACACACACACACACACACACACACACACACACACACACACACATACACACACACTTGAAACGATGACGAAAGTGTGTGTGTGTGTGTATCACTTTCGTCATCGTTTCAAGCTTTTTTTTCAGTTCGCATCAGTTTTGGGGTTCCCAGAGGATGCCATCCATGCAATCAAATCAACATGGCCTACAGTTACATAATGGAGCTTTAAAGCATCTTACGATCATACCGTGTATTACACGGGTATAAACCAAACATGAGACGAAGGGGCAAGAAATTCATTACCGAACGTGTCTGCTAAAACCTAAAGGCGTCAGCTTGTCTGACCGCGGCGTATTTTCGTCTCGGGAACGACCTTAGTCAAACCGCGGAACGACAACTTCAAGTGTGGTAGAACGCCCCTCCACACTAGCCTCTAGTCCATAGCATGCCAAAAACTGGGATTTTGGGGGTCTTCAGGGTCTTTGGGATCTTTTATGTGCTATTTTCTGATTGCATATAGACAACATAGCCGGCCTGGTTGAATACCCCACCAAACCCCCAGTTCTATAAGCCTGCTACGGAGGCTACCTCCACACCGTGATATTTCGTGGTGTAGAGGAGCACGGTTTTAGAATCAGGCATTTTGACCCGGTGTTGAGCCAAATCCTTGAGCTGCCACATACGGAGGTAAACATAATGAAATACCTTTATTGTACATTCATGCCACGACGGGCTAGGTGCAGGTCAAGATATAACAGACACATAACAAACGTATATAGAAAATTGGAGACAAAAGATGCACTACTTGACTTAGACGTACATACATACATAAGGAACATATAAGGGTACTATACTAGGCTAATACAAAGTGTTCTAGTCACTGAGCTAACATAGAGAGGTCAACTTCTTCTCGCTTTTTTGTACAGTGAAAAATGTGGGAGCAGATCGTGTTTGTGATACAGGGTTTGTCTAGACGCATCAAAATTATAAAGTTCATTTCCACTCACTCATACGTGCCTGTATGCAAATCAGCCGTAACCCTGGTCGACCTGTCGGTCGATATGAACATAACGGGCAAGGGTTAGGGTTGGTATTAGAGTTAGAGTTAGAGTGATAGTCACCTGTTCTGTGAATCCTTCCGCAAATGTGGTAAATCTTCATAAATAAACAATGTTTACCTTCGCATATGGCCTGCTCTGTCTACATGTAAGTCCCTGTTGCTATAAAATTACAACATGATGTAATCCAACTCTAGTTACCATGGTGACAGACATCTGGTTCAGGTCGTTGACCTTATTTGTTTGGACAAGAAGAAGAGGAAGAAGACACAGAGAAAAAACAATATGTTTTCCTTCTGCGAAGGTTAACATAATGAAACCAGCTACTAGGTTCATTCCCAATCTATCATGCCTGTATACCTGTATGCAAAATCAACCGTAACCCTGCATGGCCTCACACACACGCCACACGCACACACACACACGCACACACACACAGCACACACACACAGCACACACACACACACACACACACACGCACACACACGCACACACGCACACACGCACACACAGCACACACACACACACGCACACATTCCCAATCAGTATGCGCCTGTTTGCAAATGAACCGTAACCCTGGCCGGACTGTCGGTCGATATGAACATAACGATGTTTTCCGAAGAAGCGGGGTTTAACCTGAGATTGGATGCTCGGAAACCTAATTGACCCGTCAGCAGCAATTAGCGTCAAACGCCGTGACTTGAATGGAAGATTGGAATTTCCTTGTGGTTATAAACCCCAAGCGGCCGTTTTATGTCAATTTCCAATCAGTAAGGATTGTTGGTTTGCAGTAAGGATTGTTGGTTTGCAGTAAGGATTGTTGGATTGCTTATAAACCTGCATTTCTCCTCTGGTCTCTCAATCACTGACGAAAGGTAGTGGATGCTAGCTGAAACGTCTGACCGTTTCCAAAATCATATCCAGTTGCTTGAGTAACAGGTTTTTTTTTGCGCATCGTATTACCTGGATGTCTAACCTTCACCGGCGTAATTGAATGGAAGATTGGGATTTCCCTGTGGTTATAAACCCCACGCGGCCGTTTTATGTCAATTTCCAATCAGCAAGGATTGTTGGTTTGCAGTAAGGGTAGTTGGGTCTCTTATAAACCTGCATTTCTCCTCTGGTTTCTCAGTCACTGATGAAAGCTAGTGGATACTAGCTGAAACGTCTGACCGTTTCCAAAATCATATCCAGTTGCTTGAGCTTGAGTAACAGTTTTTTTGGCGTATCGTATTACCTGGATGTCTAACCTTCATCGACGTAGCAATTCAATTTCAAATCAGTAAGGATTGTTCCGATGCTTTTTGGGGAAAGGGTTGACTGAAAGGTTTGTAATGGGTTGACTATTTCCAAGGGAATTCTTTTGAGGCCATCGACTTTCCCCACAAAATGAAAGGCAATTTCACTGTCTTTCATTTAGTGTTTCGTTAATTATTTCATTCTGTTATAGTAGAAAGGATTCATTGCTCTAGCTAATCCACGTCTAGTACATGCAGTCGTCCTTCAGTAAGACATTTGAAGCTGTACATACATACATACACAAATAGAAACACACAGAGACACACACACACACACATACACGCGAGCGCACGTGCACACACACACACACTCACACACACACATACACACACACACATCACACACACACACACACACACACACACACACACACACACACACACACACACACACACACACACACACACACCAAGAGCATAACAAGGAAAATGACACGCTCTGAATCCAACGAACATCCGTAACACAGATCACGTAGTAGGTGCTTTGAAATCTCTTTTGGGGAAACCAAAGGAGGGAATTCGATAAAGTTCGTGACCAGATTCTAACTGCAACAGGAAGTAAGTTATTAGTCTACAGTGGTTGTAATGTAATAAATATCTATATACCTATACAGTTGAATGGATTTTCGTGCAATATATAAGCTCATAATAAACATAGGGTGTCAATGGATAGGTGTACTTGTATTTGTAATGAAACAGATCATTACAATGGTCAGCACAGGCAGAAATAAGCTGCTTGCTGGTAATGGTAAAAGGAAATCATTTATTTTTTCGTTTCAAACTTATAAGGCCATTAACCAGGACCCGACGTCTGTCACCATGGTGACTGGTGCTGTAGCAGACACCCTGTAGTGTTGGTTTATGTTATGTAGGGCTGGTCACCATATATATGCATGTGTTCGAGTAAGAATAAACAATAAAGCAGTCATTTGTTTGGATAGATAAAAAATGATGAAAGTTCAATACTTGGGTCTATAAAATTGCACTCATTAGTTCATGATTCCACCAACAATAATGTTAGTAGTTCAAATTAGATTCAGCACAAAATCTCCATGAAGGTACGTACGTGAATATGCAGTCTTACTGATATCGTTTTACAAAAATACACGTGGCACAAGTGGAATTCTGTAGAAAGTCGACTGAATAAGCATGTATTCAATGATAGATAATCTATTGGGAACTAACACCCACCTCTCGACTTTAGTGCCATGTAGTAGGGGCTTTTTGAGCTGAATTCCAGTGATTCCAATGTATTCAGTGATAGCAAGGACATTATACATCTGTATAATGTCCTTGGTGATAGATAATCTATTGGAAACGAACACCCACCTCTCGACTTTAGTGCCATGTACATTGTGGTAGGGGCTTTTTGAGATGGATTCCAGTTGAATTCTTTGAGATGTCTAATCCAGTGACTATGGTCACCATAATATTGCAGTGGGCGACCTAATAACCGTAGAACACTAGCCTCTATCAGGCACCGCGGATCGCTGAAAAAATAGTAGAAATTGGCCGAAATAAAGGGATAGTATACCAGAGAAGATCCCGGGCCATAGAAGATCCAATTTCCGTGGGTCGCAAATTGGATCTTCTATGGCCCGAGCTCTTCTCTGGTATACTATCCCTTTTTTCGGCCAATTTCTACTACTATTTTTCCAGCGATCCGCGGTGCCTGCCTGGTAGAGGCTAGTACTAGTAGACCACCATATCATAAGTATTTGTGAAACACCAGGAGCAAGTAGAAACAGGAAAACCCCTGACTCCAGCAGGACGCCGGGAATCGAACCCGCGCCGAACCTGTGCAGCCAGCTTACCAAGCGACGCACAAACAGCAACTCCAAAGATACAAGTGCCAAGCTAGAAAGGTAACATTTGCAAGGCAAATGCATAATGTTTACCTTCACATATGGTGTGCTATGTTAATTCTTACTCAAACACATTCATATATATGGTCAGACAGGAGTCTAAATCCCTCCTGCTATAAAATTGCAACATGATATAGCCCAAAATTAGTTACCATGGTAACAGACACAACATTGGTTCAGGTCTTTGTGGTCACTGTTTGGAGGAGAAGAAGAAACGTAGCAAAAACATGTTTTTCTTCCGTAAATATGAAAAGAAAGTTCGATAAAAACCCCTAAAACACGTCAAAAATAAGCCGAAGCCTAAACCAGATGCTTGGACAGTAGCGCCCAGACCCCACCGTGAGATACGCGGGGTTTACACATTAAAAAGCTTTTCTTGGGGGATTTTTTGGTAGTTTGTGGCTGCCCACTGCGTGGCTTTCGACTTTAAGCCCTCCTAGACCTTGGGGTTTGGGCTCCACCACGCGATAGTAGAATGATCGTCAGCAGACCCTTTGAAGCCAGAGGGAACACAAAAGCCAAGTTATCCGGTTAAGAGGATTTACTTGCAAAACACCCGTATAGAATTTGTTAAAGGCATCCAGTGCAGTTTTTAGGGCTTCTAAACCCGATTTTTCAAAGCCAATATTCTGAGTTGAAACTACACTATCCCAATGTATCCCAACGTCCCACATGGAGCAAAAATTCCCAAAATTCTGACGCAAAATGGTTAATGGAAGGGTAGGCCCTGGACTAAATTCTTAGGGTACCACTCAGAAAATAAAACACTCATCTTGGGGGCTGGTTTCTGCAGTTTTAATAGCCAAAAGTGTGAAATACTGACTCAAATGTGGTAATGTGAAGCAGTATGTGTCAATATCACTAATATTGCCTTATTCAGAATATTTCCAGTTTTGCTGAACTAGCTGAAATCGCATCGGATGCCTTTAAAATGCTGTTGATATACACTTGACCTTACGGGTTTAACATTTGAAGGTTTAAAGGGTCTGAAGTTTTAATTCTTGAAATAATGACACCTTCTTTGTTATGTCTTTCCCGAAGCCAGACGTCTGTCACCATGGTAACCAGTGTTGGGTTACATCATGTTGCAATTTTATAGCAGGAGGGATTTAGACTCCTGTCTGACCATATGTATGAATGTGTTTGAGTGTCGACATACGTACATTTTTTTATTAACCTCATGATTCGCCACAAAATAAGGCTCATGGGAGCCCCGCGTAGGATTGTATGCATTTCAGAGTCAACCTTGAAGTTAAACCTTGAAGTTAAAACCGAGCGAATTTCCTTGCGGGGGCGCCAGGGTCTGCCACAAATCTGCTGTCTTTGGAGGTGTAAGACCGGCGAAAGTATAGCCTTGGCAACGAACAATGTTAGTATAAACTTGTGCATTACAGGCTAGTTTATAATGCAATATAATGGGTTTTACGTAACTGGAAAATCGCTGTACTTACCAGAGTATTTTCCACTTATCCAACATCATTGTTTTGATTCCTTCTATCGTAACTCATACTTCACCAACCTCTGGCAACGTCTGTATATCTTGTTGCAAAGCAAATGCGTAATGTTTACCTTTGCGTATGGTCTGCTCTGTTAATTCTTACTCAAGCACATTCATATATATGGTGACAAGAGTCTAAATCCCTCCTGCTATGAAAGTGAACATGATGTAACCCAACACTAGTTACCATGGTGACAGACGTCTGGTTCAGGTCATTGACCCGTAGTATGTGTTTGTAGAAGAGGAAACTGAGCAAAAACAGTATGTTTTCCTTTGGTTAACATAATAACAAGTATTAATATTACTTGTTGAAAAAACGTTGGCGTTTCATACACGCTCGTCCTTGGATGGCAGAAGATAAAAGACCAAACCCACACCACTTGTTACTGATATGAAAGCTATCAGCCAGCCAAAAATCACACACGAACAGAAACACAGAAACAGAAACACTCACACGCACACACGCGCACACACACACACACACACACACACATATACACACACACACACACACACACACACATTGAGGACCCAGGTCTTTCCACAGTGTGTATCTCACTGGCCAAAAGGAAGCGAGAACAGAGAATTAAGACATGTAGCCATCATAAGTTATGACCTTGTACGTCTGTTGATGTAAAACATACATACTGCTGAATTCATTACGTGAGTCACATGTGGTTGAAAATAACGTTGTTTAAATTTTTCCACCAGCCACCGTATTGGCTTGCTGGACAAAACGCCCCCTGTCGATACACAAGAGAACGGCAATGTCCACAAGGTCTCAAATATCCACTTGGCATGATGATGTTCTTGATACTTAGAACTTAAGAACTTTATTTACTAAAAACAACCTCCCAGGAGTGTATCCTGAAGATATTGTAGATTACAATATGTACAGCTGTCTAAAACATTTGCTCACTTTAACATTAACAGATTGACAGTATCATGTGATCATTCATCTTTGAAATATTGTACTAAAATCTCCGATAGTGATATAAATATACATACTCTGCAGAGGTAAGAGTTAACATACAAATACTCTGCAGAGGTATAAGACGCATAATTCGGTTAGCTCGGTTAAAGTACAGGTAAAAACTAAAGCACCAAGACTTTCGGCAATCATAGGCAAATTGTAAAACCGTTTGCGTAGCTCACATGTGTATACAGATTTCATTGATTCTCGTTTTAGTAATGTTTTCTCTAGATTTTAATCCCTATTACCACTTAACGAAAGTGTGACTTTTCCTTCACCTATCTATATGTACATGTACTCTATGTTTTATCATATAATCGACATCGTGTTCAATATGATATTCAAAGTCTCTAAAGTTATCTTTTGTTAAATAAGTATTGAAGTCAGAGTGTAGAACCGATCATGTGTCAGCTTTTCATCTTAGTGTAGCTTGATCTTTTTTGCCCCAATGGGATAAAATTATTCATGCACAAATGATACATAATCGGATGAACTTCTCTTGTTATCCTTTGAAATGAGATGCTTAAGAGCAATACTCTGCATCTCCCTGCGGGACCGCATCCCAAATGCAGAAATCCGGTCAAGACTCGGGGCAGAACAAACCATCACTGACAGGATACGCACTAGAAGGCTCAGATGGTTTGGGCATGTGATGCGAAGACCAGCAAACACCTTAAAAACCCTAGACCCCGGGGAAGACCACCCAAGAGGTGGAAAGACCAGCTTCAGAGTGACACAAGGCTTACCCTAAGACTAGCAGAGACTATTGCCCTAGAGCTGGTTGGGGGAACCTGGCGGAGAGAAGCAAGGGGCCAGTACCTGGCCTGAGCGTATAGGAAGGCAGGTAGGCAGGACACATAATGCTCGTGTCTCTTTCTTGTAGATGTTGCAAAAGTTAGTCATCCTCTCCGAATGGCGCTCCTACAGTCGCCACGTACCAGGATCGGGCCCGGGAGGCGGCCGCTGCACGGTCCCAGAACAGGTCAGACACAAACAGAACCTGGGAGGGAAGAAACAGAAGAAACGATATTATAACACACAATCTAACCCTCGGAAGACGGGGAACAACAGACGATAAACCGGACAGTGAGTGAGTGAGTGACAATCTAAACTTAGTACTAGAAAGGTAACATTTACAAAGGAGATGCATAATATTTACCATCGCATGCACATATTGTCTGCTGTGTTATTTCTTACTCAAACACATTCATATACTAGACTGTGTGTGTGTGTGTGTGTGTGTGTGTGTGTGTGTGTGTGTGTGTGTGTGTGTGTTTGTGGTGACAGGAGTCTAAATCCCTCCTGCTATAAAATTGCAACATGATGTAACCCAGCACTAGTACTAGTTACCTTGGTGACAGTCATCTGGTGCAGGTCATTGCCCTTATTTGGTTGGAGAGGAAGAAGAAGAAACAGAGCAAAAACATATGTTTTCCTTCTGCGAAGGTAAACATTATAATAACAAAATTAAATTTTTTCCTCACCATTACTCCAGCAAAGCTAACCCCCAGGGCAATCCCCCGGTTGACTTCGTAGATGTCGTGATGGTAGATCGCCACGCGAGAGTAGGAGTGCCAGACAGCGAAGGCGACAAAAGCTGCCTGAATGGCGGGCTTGACGAGCCAGGGTCCCCGCCACTTCCAACGCGCCTGGATGTACAACTGTTAAAAAAAATTAAAAAAAAAAGAAATTAAAGTATATGTTTACCTTCGGATATGGTCTGCTCTGTTAATTCTTACTCAATGTCAAGTCTAAATGCCTACTATGAAATTGCAACATTATGTAACCCAACACCAGTTACTATGGTGACAGACGTCAACAAATGATGCCATTGGCCAGGTCATAGGTCACTGTTTGGAGAAGAAGAGGAAAAAACAATGTTTTCCTTCGGTAAACATAAAAAAGATCTTAGACTAGAAATGTAACATTTGAGAAGCAAATGCATAATGCTTACCTTCGCATATGGTCTGCTCTGTTGATTCTTACTCAAACGCATTCATATAGATGGCCAGACAGTAGTCTAAATCCCTCCTGCTACAAAATTGCAACATGATGTAACCCAACACTAGTTACCATGGTGATAGACATCCGGACACTTCTACTGTTACTCGGTACAACAATCGCCGCCTGATTTTCAAATACCAAAGCCTTAGTTTCTTCATTGAAAAACAAACCCTGATTGACTCATTGTGGCGTAATTTGAGCCATTCTCAGGCAAGCCGGTGGCTTGACACTAGGACGCTAATTGTTCTATTCAATCTGTATGATATAACAGAAGAACTCTATTACACAAAATTGTAGCAGGTGCAGCGTATGACGACATATACATAGTTGTTGTTACGTAGTTGCTATGGCTAACATTGATCTAACAGTATTAACAGTTTTAACTAAGAAGCTGGTCTGGTGTCATAGATGATACGGTCTCAAGGAAGCCGCGTCAAATTTCTTTTGAACAGGCGCGTGCGGTAAAGAAAAGGCTGGAGTCGTGCCCCGCACTCGCATTGATGTTTAGAGAACGGACGTGAGCCACAGATTGGCGCCAATTTGATTCTTGAGGAAGGAAACGTAAGTTATTATTTTCTTATGTTTACTGAAGGAAAACATGCTGTTTTTGCTACGTTTCCTCTTCTTCTCCAAACCAAAAAGGTCTGTTGCCATGATAACTAGTGTTAACTAGTGTTATATATATATACACACATAGATGTGTTTGGGTAAGAATCAACAGGGCAGACCATATGCGAAGGTAAACATTAATGCATTTGCTTTGCAAATGTTACCTTTCTAGTTTCTTACTATTATTGCTAATAGTTATCTTCAGATATACAAATGTGCTTACCGCAAGGTAGATTGCTGTGTAGAAGTGACTCGTGGCGTGTCCAGATACAAAACCCAACCTGTGAGGGCAATATAATTCACGTTGAGTATTTTCTAATCTCAAAGCAGATCCTAGGGTGGCAAAAAGACACTACAAGTATCAAATTGGCCAGGCAGTATCCATTCGCCAGAGGGTCCATTGGCCACCCAAGGGGGTTGGACCCTCTGGCCAATGGATACTGCCTGGCCAATTTGTTACTGGTAATCATATATCATACATACTGTATTACAATACTGATTTAACATGCTTTCGAAAAAAGTCTCATCTGGGTAGTATAGTATAGGACATAGGGGTTTTCTTTTATACAATAATTCAGTGTCTATCAGACACTTTCCTCAGAGCTTCTGACTGGAGTTCTGAAACTGTGACCAGAGGCTCTTAGGAAAGTGCGTGTTTGATATACACTGAAACATAAGCATGGTAGGATAAGTTTAATTGTGTACAAGAAAACCCCTATAATATCCTGATCATGCGTTTAAGAGATCATAAAAGACCAGGTTTATGGAGTTATGCTACTGTTTTCACACTTACTTTGATGATTCCATGGAGTGCTTGTCTCCAGTGCAGACGTTAGGAAACAGGAGTCCCGTGTTGCTCGTGCAGGTAAAGTTGAGCCCGCACACCTGTAGAAAGTACGGTCTGAGCTCCCCGACGGTGTACTTTGCAATATACGCTACGGATATCGCCGCACTTAGACCTGGCAAATGAATTAAACATTGTCAGTCAAGTGGAATTTTGCATTTTAATTATATAGACATTCTTGCAGGCAAATGGAGCTTCTCTGGCCGGGTACCTTCTCTCGCCAATTAATACCCTTTTTAGGCCGATTTTACAATTTATTCAGCCTGCAAAAGAAGTCTGGTGGAGACTATCGACCTTTACCGAAGGAAAACATATTTCTTTTGCTCTGTTTCTTCTTCCGTTCCAAACACTGACCTGGTCAATGACCTGAACCAGACCGTCAGTCACCATGGTTACTGGTGTTGGGTTACATCATGTTGCAATTTTATAGTAGGAAGGATTTAGACTCCTGTCACCACATATGTGAATGTGTTTGAGTAAGAATCAACAGATCTAGAGCAGACCATATGCGAAGGTGAACATTATGCATTTGCTTTGCAAATGTTACCTTTCTAGTAGTGAAATTTTACACAAATCTTTATTTATTTATTTATTTATTTCATCTTATAAACACTTGGGTGGCCTCTTCAACAGTTAATTGTTGATTTCCAAGAGGGCCCAGGATTCTAGAGTCCGCAGTGAATAATAACCTCAAAATAAATTTGAGATAATTGCACAAAGATGTTGAAAAGTGGAAGTCAATCACAATCAAGATTTTTTTTCAACTAAAATATTTCGATTTTTGTGTAAAAATTTACGTAATGCCGCTTAAAGTGGCGCAACTAGCAAACATCACTGTATCATCCGCACTGGTTAGTGTCTTAACACGTGAGCGAGTGATCATATGTCAGCTTTTCATGTCAGTGTAGCTTGATCTTTCTTCCCCAACGGGAGAAATAAAACCTTTGAAGCATCCTTTGCTTTGTTCAGGAACATAATGTGATTTGACCCCTAGTTACTTGTGTTATTCATTACGCAAATACCCTCTAGGCATAACAACCAAGGAAGTCCCATTTTGCTAGCCTGAGTGTCAGCCTTTTTAGCTTTCGTCCGCTCTGCACGATCAGCTACCGGTCTAAATTACATTTCTTAGCACATTTTCGTCATCATGTCTTAAGGCGCGGTCACATTTCCCAACCTGGGGCCCGGCCGGACAGTCGTTTGGAACGAAAATTATGATATAAGACAGCAAAACACACAAACAAAAAGTTTTAGAAAATTAACCATGAGCACTATTTGTGCATGCTCTTAATACAAATTGTTTATTTTTTGTATACGCAAACAACCCGGCCGGGCCCAGGCTTGGAAATGACATAGCCCAAAACATACTACGTGAGGCGTCTCTTTACTTTTTTGGTACCACCCATAAATAGTCAACCCCTTAGACATAGTTTTAGACATAATTATAGCTTTAGACAACTACCTTTTATCATGTAGATTTTCATCATCATTATAATTTTTAATTATAGATTTATGTAGATTTTAATTATTTTATACTCTGTTTCATTGCTCTTTTATATTTGTAATTTGCAATTAGCCCCCAGGCACGAATTTACAATAAACTTCTATAAAGGTTGACACCCAGGCTAACGCTTTGCTTACCAAAGAAGAACAGGACGGTATTTTTGAAGAGGCGCGCGAAGAAGTTGGTGAGAATGTCGCTGTACTCCTGTTGACCCGCGTTCCCTCTGTCGTTGAGCGATCTTTTCTCTCGGAAATATAAAGCCAGCTCTCCTAACACGAACTAGGCAAGAAGCAAAGAAACGTTATGTGTATTTATAGTACTTATTACAAATTAATGCATTGGTTAGAGAAGTTGGCAAAGTAATATATTCGAATAGAACTCGTTTTCTAGACATTTTCGGGCCATTATGTTTAGGTTTTCGATAACGTTTGGCTACCATTCAAAATTCATGACCCTAGGCCCTACACACACCCATATACACAACTCCATGCATATACACACATACACACACACACACACACACACACACACAAACACACACGCCATGGAAGCGAAGGTAATAACTTACGCGAAGGTAATAACTTACCACAAGTATGGCCATGGCGATGAGGACGCCCCAGTGCCCGAGTACCCGGTGTGCCCACGACCCGGTCCGGTACGGGTAGGAGAGCCGCCGGTCGGTACAGTAGAACCCGCTCTCATTCGGCTGGATGTCAGACAGGACCAGGATAGCAGCAGGCAGGATAGCTGCGGGGAATGGAAACATACAGTTGTACAATTCTACAACTTTTTCGACATGGTTGCCCCCGAACCGTGTAAGCATGCATGGCAGGAACCTTAGATCAAAACATAATGTAACACAGTTCAAATGTAGAACTGAGAGTATCGCAAGACTACACTGCCTTACGTGGTTAATATACTTAATGAAACATGACACGATTGATGTATTCATATGTCTTAACACATTAATGAAATGGTTTTAATATGTGCAGGTGTAACGTAAGGCATTTTAAGTTGTACTGTGTAAGTATTAATAGTGTACATTAAGTGTAAATATTATCATCCTTAATTGTAATGCCATACTATAATTCAGCTAAAAGCTGCAACTGTATGGATGTTTTAAGTCGCCACAATAAACCATTGATATATATTTATATCATTTAGTAAATGACCTTTACATTAATAAATGACGACCTTTATTGCACATTTGTGCCACACTGGGCTAAGTACATGCACAGGTCACAACAAATCATGGGGAACAGATACAGTCAACATACACAAAAAAACTTATTACATGTATCATTAAATAAATTCAACTTCTCCTCGCTTTTCAGTTATAGTAGAGATAGAGGAACAGATATGTTTTTCCATGGAAGGTTTGTCTTGTTGCTATTATTAATTATGTAAAATGGGAACACGATCATAAAAACTTTATTTGCATTTTGCATACGTAATGATCTGAAGTATCGCTAATTTACAATGCGTAACAGATTGAAACAAGGATTAACTTAAAGAGTTTGAAAGAATTTTCATTTGGTCACTATTGTATAATTGCATCCAGCCGCTGATGGCTGACTAAGCTTCCAATACCCATTCCTTTCATTCTATATCTAAAGCATACCGCCCGTCAATACACTCTTATGAGCATCCCAAATGAGTTGCATTTCTAGTGAAATCGGTACAGATTTCGCAACAACAATCTGTATCTGTATAGCCGGTATAACCGCTCTTCGGCGTAACACACTAGCTTCGCAGGTACGCGCCGCGGCAGCAGCTAGCTATATCACACCGAACGACCTGTTACACTCCATCTTTGAACATTTAATTCCAGCTTTCTAGTGATGATGCCCCAACTGTGCTTGGTGGCAACGAGTTCCACTCTACCTTACCACAACAGCAGTAACAACAAAATTTATGGCACGACTGACAACACTACAGTACAAAATTGTCGAGAATAGCTATGTTCTGTTAATGGTGTAAAATTAAGGCAAACATTGTCTAACAACATCTGTTATAGACTACATGTGGGTTGGCCACTTAGCAATGACAAACATGTGGGAGGGGCATAGGCAACCACCTTTGAATACCCAAATTCTCGTATGTTGGAACTTTTAAAGCAAAACACACACAATTTTCTTGGTCAGCCTTCTTGATGTGTATTCATGATATTTGCCATAATGATCCGAAAGTGAATTTAGTACCACAATTGGTCGCACCTGTAACGTTACGTAACGCCCCCCTCCCCACCAAGAAGCTAAACATAAGAATTATGGCATGTATGAAGGACTTACCTATTGGTAGACAGATCAAATCTATGACCATAAGAAGCCATGTTCTCGCCGAGGCAGCCATAGTGAGAAGTTGCAACCATTCAGATGGATTTTCTTCTAAAATAAAAGGACAATTGTCAGTATGCCATGTCACTACAGCAAGCTGCCGGCTGTTTCTTACCCAGGATAATTATTTAAATGAGAACCGGTCGGACAAGTTTTGATCAACAAACCGAATCTGCTCAAAACAATGCATCGCTGAGGGCTGTTTTTAAGGAGGACAGCTTTTGAAGAAACTTATGGGGTGATTTTAGCTTGGAAAATACTAATAAAAATCATTTAAAAACTTATGGGTGAAATAAATACTTTATTGTGCAGACTAATGTTTATTATGATCATCATGATACATTCATTTCAAACTGTCTCTTCTACGATTACAAGAGAAGTAACTACTAGAAACCACCAAATTCCATTGTAATTTGTTTACATCTACAGACAAAAGAAGATTACTCCCTTCTTACCATCACCAAGGAAGGTTTAAAAATCAACCTTCTAATTCGTGATGGTACCATATGTTACAGTGGGATTTTTAGTCTTCCGTTGTTTCAAAGAAAGTAATCAACTCAAAAATCATCATTTAGGCCAAGGAGAGACTTAGTAGTCCCCTGTGCCTGTTGTACTTAGTTGTCAGTACATTATCTTCATGTTTCTTACAATTAGCCTCTGGCCACCTGTAGCGTAAAAAAATACCAGTAAAAAAAAACACATAAACGCCTGAAACACGTAAAAAAATAGGCCGAAGCTTCAACCTCTGCTTTGAGAGTATTGATAGTGTACACATACGTACAAGAAACAATGTTGTTTCTGTGATTCATAGACTGTGGAAGGTGCATATTTATTGCATAAAGTTTACATTTATACCACTAATTAAGTGTTGTTTGTAATGTCAAGACATCACTGCATCAAATAGAATTTCCTAAATATCAAAAGATGACTTTTTAGAAATGATGAAAGTAACACAGGAGGAAGTAATTCTTCAAACGTTTCTGAATCAAAGGCTGAAGCTTGCCGCGGGCAACAATTAACATTTAGAACTCGTGTCACATGTACGTGTATGAAACACGCAGTCAAAACTTAATTAGTGTGCCAATTAGGCTTATTATCACGTCTGATGTCATATGTGATATTTAACTCGAGTTACTTGCATGTGTATGTACCATACATCCCAAAATTGATTGATATAACAAGTACGCCAAAACGCAGTTACTCAAGCAACTGGATATGATTTTGAAAATGGTCAGACGTTTCAGCTAGTATCCACTGGCTTTCGTCAGTGACTGAGAGACAAGAGGAGAAATGCAGGTTCATAAGCACAAACTATTGATTGTAGGCTACCTGGTGTGATATTGAATAAAAAACAGAAACGCTCTGCCTTCGTTTGGTTATTTGAATATATTGTCTCATAAAAAGGTTCAGGTTTTTATATCAAAGTGGCCCCTTTTACTTCAATGATGGGTATCATTGCACACATGCAGCAGAGTCTTTTGTAATTTCATGTCGAGCTTTTGAAGTATGTGAAATGTACAAATGTACGTTTATGAAATATTCGTCCCAAAACTGATTGACATAACAAATAGACTACCTTCTTTGATATTGAATGAAACAGAAACGCTCTGCCTTCGTTACTCTTTGGTTATTTGAATATATTGCATCATAAAAAGATTCAGGCTTTTATCAAAGTGGCCCCCTTTTACTTCAAAGTTCAATGATGCAATGGGCACCATTGCACACATGAAGCAGAGTCTTTTATAATTTGGTGTCGTCCTTTTGATGTGTAGGTACAAAGGAACGATCTGTAGTCGTCGTAAACATCTGGTAACAGACCACAGTAGAGAGAGAAGAGTATTGCAGACACTGATTCTACGCTCTTCGCTTGCTTTCAATTGCTGCTTGATGAAGAGTAGCAGAAGAGGTAAGTGCATCCACTGTCTGGTTATCAGGTAACATATAACCATGTCAAGTATTAGCCTCCGTATCAGGCTTATAGAACTGGGGGTTTGGTGGTCTTCGGCTGTTTTCTGATTAGCCCAGTTCTACGGTAATTCTAGCCTTTATGGTGCGGCGAACTGTTCTCTCAACGGACAAACTCCCTTGGCATGCTTATTTCTCTATCTGGCCGATTTCTACTCTTTCCAGCCGCCTCCCCAAGCCTGGTAGAGGCTACGGTAATTCAACCAGGCAATCATTATGCAATCATTAAGTAGTAAATAAAAGCTTCCAAAGACCCTGAAGACCCCCCCCCCCCACAACCCCCCAGTTTTTGGCATGCTGTGGAGGCTAGTAAATTATGGTGTCACTTGCACGTGTATGAAACATGCATCCCCAAACTGATTGATATTTTACTTTTAAACCACGCCTTCGTTACCATGACGACCTTTTATAATTTCGTGTCGACCTTTTTATGTGCAGGTACAAAAGAACGCCCTGTAGCTAGCAGACCGCAGTAGAGAGAAGAGCATTGCCGACACGGATTCAACAGTACTTAGTCGTTTGCTTGTCGCATCATCATGAGTAGTCAAGAAGGTACGTTTATCCATTGTCTAATTCTAAAAGATCAGCTTTTGAACTGTATTGCATTTTTCTGTAGCCTCTAACAGGCTTGGGGAGGCGGCTGGAAAGAGTGGAAATCGTTCAAATAGAGAGATACCTTGCTGGGGGAGTTGGTCCGCTACAGAGTACATTTTGCCCCACCTGAAAATCTGCTCTCTAGCGGACCAACTCCACCGGCAAGTTATCTCTCTATTTGACCGATTTCCACTCTTTCCAGCCGCCTCACGAAGCCTGGTAGAGGCTAATTATTCTGGTGTGGTTATGAAAATGGCATGAAACGTCGCATGGGCACTAGGCAAGAAAGGTGTAATTGATTCAGAAGAGGGATAACATGATATGAAACTGTCTTCTAAGTGTCCAAGAACACAAAGAGGAGGCCGCCATAGCAAAAGGAACAGAATAAAAAGCTCATGTTGTATTTGACAAGGCCATGCCATATTTAGACTTGTTTATAAATCAATTCCGCCCTCATCAAAACGCTTCCTTTTACTTAAATCATATCTCGGTTGCCATGGCACATCTTACGCACAGTCTTTTATAATTTCGTGTTGACCTTTTCATTTGTAGGTACAAAAGATTGAACTGCTGTTTGCCTATCAGCAGTCGCCGTCGACATCCGGTAGCAGACCACGGGGAGAAGCCCAGAGCTGGCACGGATTCACTGCTTCTCGTTTGCTTGCGATCTTTAGCATCATGAAGAGTAGCAGATAAGGTAAGTCCACCTTATTCCATGGTTTCGCATAACCGGTAAACCACCTTTAGGCGTAACACACCAGTTTTGTACCTGATGTAAGTACAAGCTGCGCAAGATTATATGGTGCATAAGACCGGACTGTAAGGTTTGAACCACTCACGCCGGGAAGGTTCCCTACTCTTTTCAATAAGTGTCGGGGGTTCTTGACGTGCATGGTGTGTGGCTCTCCCAAAACACGGGAACCTAATTTAACGTCCTATCCGAGGGACGTTCCTAACCGAAGCTAGGCTCATTTCCACCTGAGTGAAGTGAGGAAAGTCGTGTTAAGTGCCTTTCCCAAGGGCAGAAGATCGGTGACATGGTAGGATTCGAACTCGCGACCTCTTGGTCCTGAGCTGAACACACTACCGATTACGCCACACCGGTGTCTAATGCCAAAAAGTCAGTTGACAAACTGTGTTACGTTGTATTAATTCTGGCGATATGATGAAAATGAAACGACGCTGTGTTGCCGTGTTTTTGTGAAATGCTGTTTTTGGTGTCTGGGTCCAAGAGAGACTCCGGTTGTGTGGGGAATAGAGTATGACGTCGGTGTTGGCGCTTGTTTCTTTGATATGACAATACTGAGGATTTCGTTTCCACTGGAGAGTGTAAGGGTTGTATTTTTCCGTCCAATTAGCTGGGGGGGGTTTTACGTCCAATTAGCTGGTTTTACGTCCAATTTATTTACACATCTGCGCCGCGGCCTATAGTATATGACTATGCCCCAGGGCATTCTACCGCTTCGCTTCCAAATGTAATACGAAGAAGCAACTTAGAAAGCTTGGCATCCGGCTACCGACTGCTATCCGTGATATTTTTTTGAGATGACCAATGTGACAATATCATCTTTGCTCCACGTTGGAGGAAAACGGCATATGCAAAGTTTAAACTTTGCTTTAGGTAAAAGGGTTACTGATTTCATCGCCATTTTGTTGATAGTATATCTTGTGCCCTTGTCGTCTTTGTTGATAGTATAGTTTTTTTTAACAGAACTATCCTTCACGGAACGACGTCTTGCCTTTTGTTACTGGGTTTCCAAGATCTAATCCAAACCTCTGAAGCACAATTGCAATGCTGGTGTTTAGGGTTGGCAATTGTCAAAAAGTAATCGACTACTGGTGGGGTCGCTTTCTGTATACATCTCTGTAGTCGGTGACCGCTTTTGGGAGTAGGCACTAGCTTTCTGTATGTACGTGGTAAGTCGGTTTTTTTGTAGTCTGTTTGAAGTCGCCTCATCAAAAACAAAACAGCATCAAAAATAGACCTTTCAAGTTTTCAAGCCTCTGCCATTTTTCAAGAACAAAGACATAAAAAGGCTTCTCATTTTTATCTGCAAGACATTCACATCTTTATTTACCTATGATATAAAAATAAAGGGGTTGCTGTTCCTCATTTAAATCCATGTCAAGGTTTTAACACATTTTGAAGGTAACGAGCAAAATTTTTATGAAGTCTTACCTATTTGTTTTGCAGGGTTGGAGATTGACTAAAGCATGCTAAATAATATTTAATGGGGTATTCAATTATTCAATTTATTATAAGTATATATACATATATCGAACCAGCTGCATGTATCATCATTATATACATAATGACTTAGGATTGACAATGTATATATGTGATTATAACATCTGTATTATTTTGTTTTGACCTGTACTCAACCCAGCGCGTATGTGTGTACAATCAAAGTCTTCATTCATTTATTTTCATTTCATTTCATTTATTTATTGGTGATGCCACAATGCATTACAAGTGGGAGCCAGGCAGCCTAAAGGCTGGTGGCGGCTGCCACTGGTACATACAACACAACACAGGACAAGTCAATACAATATACAGGACCTAACAACAAGTTACGAATATCCAATATATATTAATATTCATTCATTAATTAATGCACAATAGAGGTTTTCATTCATTAATGCCCAATTATGTCTATGATCTAGACTCCACAGCTCGACATTGAAGGCGGATCCACAACCCTCAGCTTACCGAAGATGTGTACGGCAAACGTCACAAACTTTGACAACTTGACCGAGGAGTCGCTGAACTCTTCTTGTACGAAAGATACTGTGGGCGTCGCCGCCAAGCTCCCCCTGCCCATACCGATGACATGGGACAACTACGTCCCGCCGGCAATCTTCGCTCTCATCTTTCTCATCGGCGTTGCCGGCAATTCCCTGGTGATTTACGTGGTGGCGTTCTTCCGGAAGATGCAGACCGTCACCAACTTCTACCTGTGCAACCTGGCCGTGACAGACATGGCGTTCCTGCTTTGCTGCGTTCCGTTCACCGCTATCCAGTACGCCATGCCGTCGTGGATCTTCGGCGAGAACATGTGCAAGATGGTCAACTACATGATGCAGGTAAACACTCTCATTTTTTCCCGTCATATTTATGCATGATGACAGTACATAACGAAGTACATGTATCCAGCTCAAAATTAAAATACTAGAATAACAATAGAAACTAGAAAAGTAACATTTGCAAAGCAAATGCATAATGTTTACCTTCACATATGGCTCTGCTCTGTTAATTCTTACTTAAACACATTCACATATATGGTGACATGAGTCTAACTCCCTTCTACTATATAAAATTCCAACATTATGTAAACAACACCAGTTACTATGGTGAGAGACAGTCTGGTTCAGTCAGGTCAGAGGTCACTGGAGAACGAGAAGAAGAGGAAACTTAGCAAAAACAATATGTTTCCTTCGGTAAACATTATTAAGGTAACAAGTCATAACATTATATCATATTTAAAATATGTTTGATGTTTGAGGAAACGCATTTGTTTCTATTGTTTGTATTTTCTTCTCCAGGTAACAGTCCAGGCTACCTGCCTGACACTGGCTGCGGTGAGTGTGGACCGGTACTGCGCGATCGTACATCCCATGTCCTCGCTCGTCTTCCGCAGGAAACGGGTGGCCCTCTCCGCGAGCGCTCTCATCTGGATCGGTGAGTGAAAAGGTCACACTGACGTAAAAACAAAATTGAATAATATATATGAAAGCAGATGCCGGAAATGTGGTGTGTATGATCACAAATTCATGTAGAATTCAATTATATGGTCATGAAATATCAGACACAAATAGCAGGAAGCGTATGGCCATCTCAGGGAGCTCTCTCATCTGGATCGGTGAGTGAAAAGATCACACTTAATAATATAAATAACCTAATATGCATAGTTAATGTGACAATTTTGTGATTTCTTCATGGTAAAATTTGATACCTTTTGACATGTGTAACTTACTTGAAGGTTAACTTCACTATGCATATATTATGTTAATATAGAGGTAATTTGCATAATTGATGAGGACATCTGGAAATGAAATATTGCCAAAGGATAGAAATTTCACACGCAAAATATTGTAATTTGAGTTCAGAAAACCATAAATTAAACTAGATTATGTTAATTACGACCTTATTTCCATTATCAATGAGACAAATCCCAAAAAACATTAACATAAACTCTACATATTTCATGGAGGTATTACGTCTCCGAATCCTTGTTATGCATTCTTATTGTGGAAATCATCCTGTTTTCCGTAGTATCTTTCCTGATGGCTGTGGAGGTGCCCATGCACTACCGGCTGGTGGAGTGGAACTGGGCCCCGTACGGCCGGCAGACCATCTGCCGACCGGTCAGGCCGTCTAAGGTACGTACGTGATCGAAGCTTCTAAATGTTTTTTTTTATAATTTATCTATTTATATAAACATTTATTTACATATAATTACATGGGAAAATGGCCATGGGAAACAGACCTAATAATACATTTACACTCCCTGGCCACAGTTAACGTTAGAACACACTAATAACAATAATTGTAGCAAATAGTAACAATGAAAAGTAATGCAAAATAAGAAAGTAACACAAAGACTTAAATGATCAAAGACGTTACAAATCACTGGTCACATTTAGACCAAACACAATAATTGAAACAACAATTGAAACAATACGAATAGGAAGTTTTGAGTAAATTAATGATTGTACTTTAATGTAATAAATCAGCAATTCAGCCTTTGGGCTGCAAGTGATTTCTATGTCAATACGGTCTTCTAATTCAACTTACTGTATCTTCTTGAAAACTAACATAACATTGGTATACAGGGTAAAGAATGGATATGCTTCACATAAATAGGAGACATGGTAACTGCTATTCTATTCTATCATAAGGACTACGAGAAGGGGATGATGATCTACACAGTGTTGTCCACCTACTTCATCCCTCTCGCGATCTGCCTCGTCTGCTGCGTGCCCATCATCTACCGCCTCTGGCACCGCTTTGACAACGTCTCAGCGCTGGTGCCGAGGGACAACGCGGAAAAGGTGCGCCGAATCTTAATTTTCAACCAGTATTTACCGTCTTTGATGTGCTAAGAATAGACATGGAGTGGTGTAAACGAGAGCTAAAGTCTATTTAGTATCTATCTATCTACCTACCAATCTACCGATCT